GCTTAAATGAAGCTCCCTTTATGTGAGGAAAGTTAGGTTATGAATGTTTGGTAGATATGAAGAGTCTGGTGCAAGCCATGTGGGTGTGGAAAAAAGCAAATACTACTTTAATCCCTGAACTCAATTCCATATGGAATGTCCGGATTCTCCACTCACCTTGTCCCATAATACCTGGTCAGGGAACCTCGAGATGGGACCTGGGGTGGAGAGTGTCACTTGGCTTGATTGGTATCCTTCTTTCCCTAAAGCAGGAAGCCACCACCACCCTGGACCTGACCCCCACTCTCCTTTTCATTGAAGGTCCTGAAAAGACACATTGGCACTGTACAGACGGTGCCCCCATACCGATGGGCACTGAAGTGGCACTAGTGTGGTGGATTTCATCAAGCCCTATCACTGTGGAGTCGACAACTCCTCCCAAACTGGGACAGAAGGTCTGGTATAGCCCTCCTGGGAAGATTATTGCAGTGGGGTAGGGGAGGTCTAATGCCAGTTTTATTATACAGGAGGGGCAGGAGACCCCCTATGTGTTTCTAATAAATTTTTATCTTTTCACTGTTGCCTTGAGCTGCCTTCTCCTTTACTATTATATCATTCCCACTGGCACTTAGATATCATCGAAGAATGTTTTCCTGGCCTGGGCCCATCACACAGCCCATACGCAAGGCTGATCAAACTGCTGGGTGTGTGGTCTTATGCCCTTGAGTAACCAAGGAGGAACTCCATGGTGAACTAAGACACTACTGGGTGAAGACTAGATATCTGTACAAATCTGAATAACTGAACAAATGTATGGAAATGGATACCTTAGATACCTTTGACATCACACTGACAAACGTGAGTGATTGGGATGTAACAGAGAGCAACCCTGGACACAATGTAAGTTTTTCCCTAAACATGTCCAAGAGGGAGGCAGCCATCAAAGCCAGAACTGCCCTGAAGAGCACCACATCCTGGCAATGGGGATCATACTGGCAAATGTGGGATGGCTCATTCCTATAGCAGGGATCTGTTGGGAACAAAATAATCTCTCTAAAGACACTCAGGTAAACAATACTAGGTACCTAGAATTCCTCCCAAATGCCCAATGCCAACATGCCATTATACTTAATGACACAGCTTGGTTTGTCACAGACTGGTCTTCAGGCCAGTAATATATTGTATTGCTCCAAATGGCAACAGTGGCTCTGTGGTACTAACCTCTGGTCCTGGCTTCCTCTGATGTGGCTTGGATGGTGCACCCTTGGCTTCCTGTGGGTGTACTTCAAAATCTCTGACACCATTCCTATCCCCCTCAGTGAGCCCATCTGGAGGGGTCAGTGGAGTAGGTCTGGTTTTTCTTGGTGGGATTACTTATTGACCATATTTTTGCCTCTAGGAGCTTCTATTGATATCATGTAGAAGATGGAAACCCTTCAGAGATTTGTCTCCATATCTTTGAATGACACGAAGCATAGTTTGGAGGCCTTGAACATTGAAACAACTACTATGAGGAAAGTAGTCCCACAGAACCAAGTGGCTCTAGACATGCTAACAGCTAGGCAAGGGAGAACCTGTACCCTTTTAAAAACTAAATGTTGTGTATATATCTCAGACAGAGAAGTTAATCAATTACTGCTTAATTCACAAAAGCAATTGCAGCTAATTGATCACATGGGGGATGACTCCTGGTGGTCTACAATAACATCACGGTTTCCAGGACGGTGGAAATCTCTGCTAGTAATCCTTTCGGGAATTGTAATTTTTGGGTCTTGTCATATGCACCTGTATTTACTGTTGGTGTGGGTTTTGTTTGTAGTGTTTCATAAAGTTTGGGAAAAGGACCTTGAGGCAATCCCACTCTTTCCTGTAACTCAGGGAACATCTCCGAAGAAATGGGTGTGAGATTGTAAAAGCCAGTCAGGGGGGTGGATTGTAGGGTCCCCCAGTTCCCTCTGCTTTCTTTCTGTAAACTGACCAAAAATCATAAAGTATCTTGATCACTCTGTGACCCAACCCAGTTGTAGGATTTTACCAGCAGGTTTGAACCCAAACCAGAGCCTTGAACATTCCCAGGCACTGATAAAGTTATCTAGGTTATTGTCCAAAACACTGAAACTATCCTAGCTCTGAGCCAAATTCCATAAACCCTCATATAAACTCCATACTCTGACCCCATTTCTGAGGACACAACTGGGTAGAACACCTTTTTTCTCTCACTGTGTGTGTAGGGGGGAGGAGGGGGATACTGCTGCAGCACTCTAGGTAAGTAATAAATGCCATGGACTGATCACCCTGGCATTTAATGCTTCTTTCTTTGGAAGTCCAGCCAACGAAATGAAACTGTGTATCTAATAGAACTACCTTTTTTTTTTTCCTTTTTTTTTTTATTTCAGCATATTATGGGGTACAGATGTTTAGGTTACGTGTGTTGCCCTTGGTTCCCCTCCCCCCAAGTCCGTGTTTCAAATATGTCCATCCTTCGGGTAGTGCGCATTGCACTCCTTGTGTATACAAATACCCGTCCCCTCCACCCTCCTCCCCCCTCCTACCACCGCCCTCCCCCTTCCCCAGCATCCAATAGATGTTGTCCTGATATGTGCTTTTATGTGTTGATTAGTTAATACCAATTTGATGGTGAGTACAAATGGATCCCGTTCTTTTGCTCTTGTGGTGCCCCACTTTGGATAATGGGCTTAAGTTTAATCCAGGAAAATGTAAGTGGTGCTAGATCACTGTCATTTCTTATAATTGAGTAATATTCCATTGTAAACAAATACCAAATTTTGATAATCCACTCATGGATTGACGGGCATTTGGGTTGTTTCTACATTCTTGCAATAGTGAATTGTGCTGCCATAAACATTCGGGTGCAGATGTCCTTATCGTAGAATGTTTTGTACTCTTTTGGGTAGATGCCTAATAGTGCTATTGCTGGATCGAATGGTATTTCTATTTTTAGCTCTCTGAGGTATCTCCAAATTCTTTTCCACAGAGGTTGCACTAATTTGCAGTCCCACCAGCAGTGTAGAAGAGTTCCTGTCTCTCCACATCCTCGCCAACATTTGTTGTTTTGTGTTTTTTTGATAGAGGCCAATCTCACCGGGGTTAGGTGATACCTCATTGTGGTTTTGATTTGCATTTCTCTAATGATTAGAGATGTTGAGCATTTCTTTATATGTTTGCTGGCCATTATTCTGTCTTCTTTTGAAAAGTTTCTGTTCATTTCGCTTGCCCATTTGTTGATGGGGTTGTTTGATTTTTTCTTGTTGATTTTTTTGAGTTCTAGATAGATTCTGGTTATCAGCCCTTTATCAGATGTGTAGAGAGAAAATATTTTTTCCCATTCTGTGGGCTCTCTATTCACTCTAATGATAGTTTCCTTGGCAGTGCAGAAGCTTTTTAATTTGATTAGATCCCACTTATTTATTTTTGTTGCTGCGGCGATTGCTTTGGGGGTCTTCTTCAAGAATTCCTTACCTAGGCTGATGTCTGAAAGGGTCTTCCCAACATCTTCATTTAGAATTCTTAAGGTTTCATGCCTTAGGTTTAAGTCTGTTATCCACCTTGAATTGATTTTTGTGAGAGGTGAGAGGTAGGGGTCTAGTTTCAGTCTTCTGCATGTAGCTATCCAGTTTTCCCAGCACCATTTATTGAAAAGAGATTCTTTTCCCCAGTGTATGTTTTTGTCAGCTTTGTCAAAGATTAGATTACCATATCAAAATCCCATTATCATTCTTCACAGATCTGGAAAAAATAATTCTATGCTTTGTATGGAACCAGAAAAGACCTCGTATAGCCAAAGCAATACTAAGTAAAAAGAACAAACTGGGAGGTATCAGTTTACCTGACTTCAAGCTGTACTACCAGGCTGTAGTGATTAACACAGTTTGGTACTGGTACAAAAATAGAGACATTGACCTCTGGAACAGGACTGAGAATCCAGAGATAGAACTACCTTTTTAAGAAACAAACAAAATTTGTGATGGTGAATACCTGGGATGAGAGAAAGTAAGGAGAGGAACTGGAAAAAGAGTAGTAATAAATGTAGATTATCATCAGTTCTTACAGATTGGGTAATGGATTCAAAAATATTTGTGCTTTAGGGCCACACATAGACCAATGACAGCCAGGGATTATAATTAATACCATTTTGTTTATCTTCATTCCACTGGGGGTGGGATGATGAATCAAGGCCTTGGAAAAAGGCTGTCTGGGAATGCAGGAAGGTTTTGCGGAGGAGGTGAAGTTTGAGCTGCACTCCTGCCATGTGGGCTTCAATTTTATCGCCTGAGATTGAAGTAGAGACCGAGGCCACATGGACACAGCAGAGACAAGTTTATACTCTAAAAGTTGTCAAAATCAAAATGGAGTCACTAGTGTTTTTTTAAAAAACAAACAAAAACCTTAACAGAGCCAGGCAGGGCTATAGAGACTTCTCAGGCTTATAGGCCTGATAACAAAACACTATTACAAAACAGAGACTATTACAAAACACTCTGCGAAAACCACAACCTTGTGCAAAGGTCATGTAATCTTATACAAAAAGACTTCTGCAAGGACACCTGCCCAGCAACTGCCTGTCCAACCTCAGAATGGCGTCACTCTTACAATTAATCTTTGTAGTCAAGGATAATCATTTCAAAACAATTTTGTAATCCTCCTCATTTTTCCTTTAAAAACCTTCCTCTTCCTTTATCTCCCTGAATACAGATAGTCTACCATGGCAAGTGTGTTCCCAATGCCCTATTGTCGAATAAACATCATTTTCTTTTAGAAAGCCTCTCTGTTCGTTATTTAGGTTGACACCTACTACAATGGAGAAAAAAGACATCTCCTCCCTAAGGCTCAGAGAACTTCAAGACTGACGAAAACGCCTAGGACGCAAATCTAAACGCCTGACCCAGAAGGCTTCTGGGAATCGTAGTCCAAATCCAGCCTATCTGCTGCGCATACTCACAAGTTCCTGTGGACGGAATTCTTGAAGGGTGGTGCAGCTCCGTCCTTCCACCGGAAGTGTCCAATCGGAACCAGCCTTGTGGGAGAGGTGAGTCCGGACCTGGTGTCCGGACCTGTGTCCCCCTGCAAACATCCAGTCCCTTTCATGTTCCTTTTGGGATTATAGCAGCCTCGGGGCGACCAGACCCTAGACCTCAGAGGATTCCCGGAGAAAGATGGAGCCAGTTTGGACGTTGGGAGGACGCGCGCACTGGTGTATTTCGTGAGGGTTTGGCGGTCTCCATAGTTACCTCCGTCGCGCGTGACGTCGTAGTGAAAGGCTGAAAGGGCGTGTTTGGGGGGGCGACTTACTAACTTTGAATCTGGGGTCACTGGTAAGAGGAGTAAACACATCTAGCTGGGTGGAACAGGGAAAGATAGTAGAAGTCTATGATCTGCTGTCTGCCAAAAGAAACTGCCGCAGGAGCCACCCCCAATCGCCTGTCTCTTGCGAGGAGTAACCGCCCTTTTGCAGGAAAAGTGGGGACAACCCTGGCCTCTTAAAATGTATTCACACAGTGGTGTTTCCTGTTTGCCTGGGATGCAGGGAAGCCAACACTAACCTTGTGCCCTCCTTCTAGAATGAGAGAGAAACGGCAAAGTAGGCATTTATAAGACTGTGGAAAATGTCTCAATGCGAGAAACACAAGGAGGTACTGTGGGAGCCTTCTCCAACATGGACTTTGAAGCCTCTGCTCTGCTCTGTGGTCTCTACTGGATTTCCTCTGACTCCCCTCCCTCCACCAACAAAACTCTCACTCCCATCTTCCCCTCCCCCAACGTGCACACCAAGGACCTATTCATCCATTAGGAGCCCTGTTCCTCTACCTTTCTCATCATGATTAATTACCCCTTCCTCTCTGTTCTCACAGGATTTGTTTACACATCCGCTTAGCCATTTTTGTAACTGTCTCTCAACACAATAATTGTAAAGTACTGGATGCTCAAATATTTATTAGCTTGAAGTTAGTAAGCCTTCAGGAGGGATATATCAAATCCTTGAGAACTAGATAATTCCATCTGGAGTTGCAGAATCAGTTTTAAATGGATGAAAAGTGATGAAACACAAGGAGATAGGAGTGTCTGTCATCTGAGGAGATAACATGTTATAGAACCAGCTACTTAGCATGATAATTGAAGTTTAGTTCGTATTATATAGGCTCCTTCACTTTCCATCTTCCTATGCTAAATGAGATAATACTCATAAAGCATTAGGATACTGCTTGGTAAGCACTTGATTAGCACATCTAGGAAACATAATGGGAAGTGAAATTAGACTAGACCACTACATCAAAGTGACCCAGTAAAGTATTAGGGATTGAGACTATCCGGTTAATATACCATAGAACTAACCCCTTGTCTTCCCTTTATCACTGATAAATTTTGTTCCTACTTATACTCTCAAACTGTATGTTTTCGAAGGTTTAGTATGAGCCTGTGATATTCATTTCCATGCTCTTGGAGAATTAATCCTGATATATATCTTCAACTATCCTTTTCATGGATCTTATCCAGATCTGTGTTCCCAGTCCGAGCTCCTTTCCATTATTAAAATCTCATAGTATCTGTTGGAAATATTTTTCCAAGTAGATATCTTATAATCATCTTAGATACAGAAGATCCAAAACAGAAGTCATCTCAAACTTTCCTGATGTCCTCTTCCATTCAATGAATCAACAAATATTGAGCCTTAAGAACAAATATTAATAATGCATGGTCCTTAACCTCATGGAACAGCAGTCAGTTGATGAAAAAAAAAACACCCTAATAACTTAAAATAATGCAAGGCAGTATATGTTGTATTAACAGATGTATGTGTTAGGAATTGTAGGAACTCAGACTAGAGCTGAGGAATTTCTTATCAGAGGTAGTAGAATTCTTAATCACTCCGGTTATCATACCCTGCAAGCTGTTTTCACCGTCAATTTGCTGCTCATTTCCACTTCTCAACTCTTCTCCTATCCTCTCCTTTCTGAATCGTTCTTTCTTTATTGTCCAATTTAAGCCCCACCACCTCTAAGAAGTACTTGCTACTATTCAGTCTCTTCCTACCTCAGAACTATTAGGATATTCAGTGTCTCCACCATACATCTCATTTAGAACTTCAACACTGAACATTAACCAAGCATTTACAATGTATGTGTCATGTGAAACATGTTTTTTCATTTAAATGTTTTATGTCATTTCTTCCCAACTAGTTTGTAAACTCAAACTTTTTTTTTCAAATACCTTAAACTACGTATCAGAATACAGATTTTTCCAGGTATACACCATACTGACCAAGTTACTGTCTCCAGGAGCAGGGCCCAAGTCAGGAACTTCAGGGGCAGGGCCCAAGAATCTGTTTCTTAACAAAGTTTTCATATGCTGATTAGGCAGCAAGTCCAGTCTTGCACTCAAACTTTCTTGCACCACTGCTGTACAACTTCTATCCCAATGCTTTGCTTGTGCTAAGATTCTTAATAAAGTATATGTCAGTATATCAGTTAGTAGTCAACTTAGTGAAATGTTTAGTAAAAGAACCTGAAGGTTTTATATTTGCATTTTGCTTTTGGTCTCTATGGCTTCACCTATAAATCCTCTATTCTGGTTTTCAGATCAAAAACCAGACTGACCATTCCCACAGACTGATAATATTGGATGAACTGATAAATTCAAGAACAAGACTCACAGAAGACTAATAAGCAAATCATGGCGCTGATTTATTTTATTTTATTGGTGAGATGAGGGGCCTCAATGGCCAAAACATGGACTGAGCCATGAAACTAGAAAGGCTGAGAAGGAACTTATGGGACAAGAGGAAACCTGCTGAGACTTTTGGGGAAAGAACCAGTTACGCTGCTTGAAATTAATCGCTGGCTCTCAAGAAAAGTTGGCCTCTTTTATTATTTAAGAGACATGTAAGTAATCCTATTTCCAAATTCTGAATATATAACAATCCAAGCCTGTGTTTCCCTCACACTTGTATGAGTACAGTAGCCTCTATCTTTTCATATTGCTGTCCACCCTAGAAATGAAGACCATGTTCATCTCCACAGTATTCAGCAGGTCATTATGCTCAGAAGTTTTCATTGGCTCCTCAGTGCCCAAAATATAAACTCTAAATTCATGAACTTGACATTTGACGTTTCTTACAATTTGACATTTCTACGGTATGGCTCCAACCTTTGCCTCTGTAATTTTCTTATACAAACCTACTAAACTTTTTGCTTTCCTACTTGTGTTCCTATCCTTAACCAATTGTTCAAACTGTTTCCCTGTTTGTAATCTCCTATTTCTTTCTCTCCCATGTCCCAGTCAAATCTTATCCATTCTTCAGAATTTTGTTTTTTAATTAAGCTTTCCCTGACCATTGCAACCAACTATACTTTTCCCTTCTCCTATTTTATGAAGCACTTATATCATTTTTCTCTTTTGGTCCTTATTTTCTGTATAACTTATAAAATGTAATCACGTATGGCTTGTTAATATTTAGTATTACATTTAAGCTTAATATTTCTGATTTAAGCTGCCTTATTTTTAAATTTAAATTTTAAGCTGTGTTGAAGTAGAAATAACCTTACAGTTGTATTCCACAGAGCATGTATGTCCGTGCTTTTACATACAATAAATGCCCAGTAAATTTTTGTGTAATGGAGAATGATGATGTCTGTGATGTAGTCTTTCATCTTCCTAGACAGTAACAATAATTTTTGATCCTTCAGGAGAGCTCTTCAATCTAAAGAAGACCCTTCCCAAAACAGAAGTGGGTTTTCTGATAATATAGTCTATCCAGAGATGGCTACAGAATCAAAGAAAGCTGCAGCTCAGAACTTTCCAGAGGATAAAGATCTTCTGATAGTGAAGATAGAAGAGGAAGAGATTATCTGGAGACAGGGCACTTGCATACAGAGAAGTGATCCCCTCAGGCAGGAGCTCTGCGGGCAACTTTTTAGGCAGTTCTGCTGCCAAGATTCCCTGGGAGGCACTGAGCCGGCTCCAGGAGCTTTGCTGTCAGTGGCCGAAGCCAGAGATCCATACCAAGAAGCAGATCATGGAGCTGCTGGTGCTGGAGCAGTTCTTGAGCATCCTGCCAGGGGATCTGCAGGCCTGGGTGCGTGAACATTACCCAGAGAGTGGAGAGGAGGCAGTGACCATACTGGAAGATTTAGAGAGAGGCACTGATGAAGCAATACACCAGGTATGTAGGGGATATCTAAGACCTCTGTAATGGATGGAGTCCCACAGTGGGAGGAGAGGACCTGAGATTAAGTATTTAGTGAGACTTGCAGGAGCTGTTGGTTCAGTGTGCATTTATGTCTCCTTTCCTGTCTGTTTGGTACCACACTACATTTTACAGTTGATTTAGACTTGATTCTTCCTTCCCTGGTTTTGTATTCATACAGGACAGGAAGTTCTCTTAGTTATTAGAAGATGTTTAACTCCAACAAGGGTTGTCTCATAAGCCCAAATGTACTTTATTTTTTTCAGGTTCCAGCCCATGAACATGGACAAGAAATATTGAGGACAAAGGAGTCACCTCCTGGACCAGCATTTAGTGTCCAATTCAGGCCAGAGGAGATCAAGGCCCATTATGGTTCTCTAGAACCTCAGCTCCTGTTGGACTGTGGTAAGCAGCAGAATGCCATGTGGTGTGTGTCACTGAAGAAGCAGGAGAGTGAATCTGCCTCCTCAAACTAGTTTTGGTAAATCTGGGTGGTCCTTTCCCTCATTATCCAATGAAAAGTAGAGAATGTGTTTTCCTATGAGTCTTTGACCAATTTGGAGGGGAAAGATAATTCTGTTCCTTATCCAGAATATTTACAAACACAGGATATTTTTATGATGTGACAAAATTAAGGGAAATAAAAATGAATGAGTTGAGAAAATGTCACGGAGAAAAGAAGCAAAGAGGAAGAAACACATGGACAGAAACAAAAATGAAACATGTTATAGAGAAGTACATATAATGATAGAGAAAGAGGCAGATACATGATGATATACTTAGAAATAGAATATAATTTGCATTTACATAGACTATGATCCATATGTTGCCTTTTATATTGTATTCTTGATCTTATAAAGCTTTTTTATGTTTTTATGTAAAGTTAGCCATTCTTCTAGAGACCAGCTCCATAGAATACTCATCTGTGTTCTAAAATTCATCTATTTAAAAGGTTCATAGATGAAATATCACTTTAGGTATGAATGGTCCTAATAATAAACCCAAGTATAAGTTACTGTTAAGTTTTTATAAATTACCACATACTCCACCTTCAGGTTTATTCTGGAAATATCTCCATCTACCCCATATAAAATTGTAAATTTCCCTTACCCCAAGACCAATACTCCCTAACCCACTACCCTAGCATATTCTAGACAAAGGAAATCCTATAACAAAGAGGGGTTGCTTGGCTTCAGCATAGTATAGAGTCATGAGCACAGTATAGAGTCATGAGCTAGAAGGTAGGATTTGTGCAGACTAGATCATAAATGGCTCCTAGAGACCACGCTGGGGAATTTAGACTTGTTGTGGAAGAAATGAGATTAAAGATTTCTGAGTAGGGTGTAGAAGGATGACAATGTTTAATGACACTTAGACTGGTAAGGATAATTAGGAAGAAGAAAAGCACAAATGTATAACAGCAAGGAGGTAGTTACAGTTATCTGGACAGGAAGTAGTGAGGTTCCAGACTATGGTGATGATAGCAGAAATGTAACAGAAGGGATGTATAGCAGAAAATGATGACAGAACTTAGAAGATTGATTAACCATGAAATATGAAGAAAAAAATGGGTGATGGATGGAGGTTTTCTCACAAAAACCTCAGAGTCATTTATAGCTTTACTTTTCTCTCCTGTGTCCTCATCTGGTTTTCTTTGAGGTGGTACCTCTGTTTTTCCCTCTAAGCCTAATACTAGAAATGTATTATAGACCCGAAGTTCCCAAGATCCTCCTTGGTCACATTGTATAGTTCTTTCTCTTTACTTTGTCTCCCCCTTTCCAATTCTTGCTGCCGATGATCCTTCTCCCAGTCTTTTCTATTTTATATATACATCTTCAAATATCTGTTTCCTCTCTCTGCCAACCACTGCATGCATTACTTGCCTTTACCAATTACTTCCTTTTGTTTGTGGCCTTGTCCCTCACTCCTCTATGAAAAGCTACATATTTATTTTTTATTTTTCATTTATTTATTTATTTTTATTTTTTTAAAAAGAGACACGGTCTCACTATGTGCCCAGGCTGGAGTGCAGTCGCTATTCACAAGTGCGATCCCACTACTGATCAGCACAGGAGTTTTGACCTGCTCCGTTTCTGACCTGGGATGGTTCACCCCTCCTTAGGCAATCTGGTGGTACCCTGCTCCTGGGAGGTCACCATATTGATGCGTAACTTAGTGCAAACTCTCGATCCGTATAGTGCACTACAGTCCAGAACTCCTGGACTCAAGTGATCCTCCTGCCTCAGCCTCCCAAGTGGCTGGGACTACAGGCGCACACCACCGCATCTGGCAATCTTTTATTTTTTTGAGACAGAGTCTTGATCTGTTGCCCAGGCTAGAGTGTCATGGCATCAACCTAGCTCACAGCAACTTCCAACTCCTGAGCTCAAGCCATCCTCCTGCCTTAGCCTCCCGAGTAGTGGGACTATAGGTGCACACCACCACACCTGGCTAATTTTTTCTATTTTTAGTAGAGACAGGGGTCTCACTCTTGCTCAGGCTGGTCTCAAACTCCTGAGCTGAAGCGATCCTCCCACCTCGGCCTCCCAGAGTGCTAGGATTACAGGCATAAGCCACTGCGCCTGGCCAAAAAAAGCCACATGTTTAAAGTGGCCAAATGAAGTATCAATTTGTAACTATCTTGAGCATGCCTCCAAATTTTCTTTTCTTCCATCAGGTGATATTTACTTCTTTTTTCATTATTTTAGGTGATGAGAGTGAAAACAATGGATCCATGCCAAAGCTGGACATTTATGAAAAAACAGAATCTCAGAGAAGAATCTCAGGAAGAATCTCAGGATATGTGTCAGAAGGATCTGATGAGCCACAAGACATCTGTAAGTCTGCAGACCGAGTAAAGAAGCAATGGGAAAAAGAACCAGGGGAGTCTCAGAGACCATCATCTGCCCAAGATGGAGGTTTTGGTAAAATCCTCAACCACAAAAATACACTCACAGATGAAATGATGAGCCATGATGGATGTGAGAGGAGCTTAAATCTGAGCTCAAATGAATTCACACATCAGAAATCTTGTAAACATGGTACCTATGAACAGAGCTTCAAATGGAATTCGGATTTTATTAACCATCAAAGAATTTATGCTGGAGAAAAATTCACCAATATGGAAAATCTTTCAAGAGCCCAGTACTTATTAAACATGCAGCAATTTTCAGGGGAGAGAAAACTCATCAGTGTAATGAGTGTGGGAAAGCTTTTAGGCACAGCTCAAAGCTTGTTAGGCATCAGAGAATCCACACTGGAGAGAGACCCTATGAATGTGATGAGTGTGGGAAAGGCTTTGCAGGAAGCTTAGATCTTTAAAATTAGACATCAGTGAATTCACACTGGGGAAAGACCCTTTGGATGCAAAGAATGTGGGAGAGCATTCAGTCTGAACTCACATCTTATCCTGCATCAGAGAATTCACACCAGAGAGAAACCCTATAAATGTAGTGAATGTGGGAAAACCTTCCACGTAAACTCACACCTTATCTGACACCTGAGAATCCACACTGGAGAGAAACCCTATGAATTCAGTGAGTGTGGGAGAGCTTTCAGTCAGAGCTCACACCTTAGTCAACATCAGAGAATTCACATGAGGGAAAACCTGTTAATGTAAGGAATTTAAATTCATATGGAAATGCTGAGGAAATAGCAAAACATGAAAAAAAGTCAAATAAAAAATAAATATTCTGTGAGATGAAAGACTGAAATACCAGTGCCTTTTTTCTCTCTCTCATTCTCAGGATTGTCGTTTTATGTATGGTTTTCATTTCTGTGTATGTGCTTTCTGTGATATTGGGGCTGTGCCTCTTCTTTCATTGACTGCTAAGGTCAAACCAAAGAGCAGCATTTGGAGGAGACTAATAAATGGGTTAGTCTGTGGCAGTGGGGTGTAGAGAAACAGAGACCGTCTGAGGAAATAACTATGATTATAGTGTGAGAAGAAGAGGAAGATTCAGGTAAAGAGACTGAACCCTAGTTAATTCTTAATAGTTCTCCACAAGAGGACGTAGGCTAAACCCAGGAGTGAAATAGTTTGCACAACAATACACTGCAGAACCATGTTTTCATAACACTCTTTAAAAACTGAGGGCCACAAAACTAAATTAGATGGTCATGTTAAGTTAAAGAGTCATGTCAAACAAGAGGGCATATGTAATGGTAGCATTCCAATATGAGGCCAAAATCTATGTCCAGAGGTCATGCCAGGAAGTAAATGACCAGAAGAGAATTCAAGGCAAGAGGCAGAATCCAGATTGAAGTAAGACAGGAAAAGAATAGAAGCGAATAAGGGGAGGCCGAGGCGGGAGGATCGTTTGAGCTCAGGAGTTCGAGACCAGCCTGAGCAAGAGCGAGACCCCATCTCTACTAAAAAAATAGAAAGAAATTAGCTGGACAACTAAAAATATATAGAAAAAATTAGCCGGGCATGGTGGCGCATGCCTGTAGTCCCAGCTACTCAGGAGGTTGAAGCAGAAGGATTGCTTGAGCCCAGGAGTTTGAGGTTACTGTGAGCTAGGCTGATGCCATGGCACTCTAGCCTGGGCAACAGAGTGAAACTCTGTCCCCCCCACCAAAAAAAAAAAAAAAAAAATGAATAAGGCAAAAGTTGGGTTAGGAGTGAGGAAACGTGTTCAAATTGAACTAAACCTCAGAAGCTGAAGGATAGACACAATAGTATAACCAGGCTTTTATGGGTTTGGGTCACATTTCTGGAGTGTATTGCTAGGGTCTGTAGTTTGGAGAGCTCTCCTGACAGACCTGACAGGATTCTCTGGCAGGCAATTGTAGAAAAGGGAGTTAGTACTGAAAATAATGGTCCTGAGACTTCATTTCCTTGCTGCTGGCTGCTCTCCTCTCCAGAAAAGACTAATAGAGTGTAGAAAGTGAAAGTATCTGAAAGAGTGTAGAGAAGGATGGTATCGGCAACAAGTAGGAGTTCCACCAATGTTTTCAGGATATAAAAAATTCTTGTCTACTGTTTTTACCTGTTTGATGAGGCACGTGTTTTTGTTTTGTTTTGTTTTGTTTTTTGGTGTGAGAATTAAAAACAATTATATAAGGCTTAAATAGTCCACAGTATGTAACGTTTTTACATTATAAAATGTAAACAAGACCTTCATATTAGTATGATAATATAATGTGAAATGTAAAAAATCTTCCGCTAATAGGCTTGCTTGCTTGCTTGTTACTTGCTTGCTTTATTGATTGATTGATTGATTGAGTCAGGGTCTTGCTCTGTTGCCCAGGCAAGAGTACCGTGGCATCATCATAGCTCAACACAACCCCAAACTCTTGGGCTCAGGCAGTCCTCCTGCCTCAGCCTCCCAAGTAGTAGGGACTACAGGTGCTTGCCACTATGCCTTGCTAATTTTTCGTAGATACAGGGTGTCATTTTTGCTCAGGCTGCTCTGGAACTCCTGACCTCAAGCGACCCCCCTCAGCCTCCCAAAGTGCTAGGATTAGAAGGGTGAGCTACTGCGCCCGGACACCACTAAGAGGCTTTATAAGAAATATCTTAGTGTTTATTTTCTATGACCTGGAACTAAAAATGTCCTGACAGGATCTAAGTATAAGCACAATATTTGATTTGTTTTTTAAGATAATATTGAGCCCATAGGTTTTTGCAGGCACTGTACTAATTACGTCCTATTCCATGATTCTGTAAGTTCTATTATTTTTCCCATTTTACAGCTGAGAAAACTGAGCTGTTGCAAAGTTAAGGATCTTGCTCAAGACCACATAGATAGCAAGTGGTACAACCAGGATTTAACTCTTCATTTTATTCCAGGGCCCTAGTCCTTAACCTTAATCTTGATTATGTCACTCACAGTATCAACACGGGATATAACATCAGAAAACATAGTACTTGTACACCACAACTTTAAAGTTGGTGGGGAAAGGGTAAGGCATAACACTCTTTTAGAAGGCTAATTGGCCAATATTTCAAAATCATGGCGGGGGCCTTGACCTGCTGGGCCTTGACCTGCTAAGCCTGGAGCCAACTTTGCTCTCCAACTGCGCAGTGGACCCGCTGGAGGCTGCGCGAGGCCACCACCGAGAGCATCTTCCTAGAAGGGCGGGAGCGACGGGGAGCCCACGGTTGGCCGGGTTGTGTGGCTCGAATGAGCAACAGTCCTGCAGCACGGGGCCTGGGGTCGTAGCCTTCGGGTGCATACTTCGCGCCTCTAGCTTCTCTCTGGGTTCATATTAAAGGTTAGGAACAAGATTCTGGGGATGAAGGTGGCAGCTACCAGAGGAGGCTGCAACTGAGAACCACCAGATCCGTTCCTCCTCCATACCACACACAACACCAAGACAGGCCCCAGAAGGGCATGGAAAGAAGACCCTCTTCCTTGCCTCTCCTCTTCCCTCCTGGAGCTGGCAGCACGAAGCTGTCTAAGCTGTCGAAGCTGTCTCCCGGAGAGGCATTAGCAGCGGAGCCCTGTGGGAGGCATGGGGTATATAATCACACACACTCAGATTTGTTTATGTTGTCAGTGAACCTCTGGACATGATTTGATCATTTTCGGAGGATAATTGTAAGTGTTATCTGTAGATTTATTTGCAGTGAGAAACACCAGCATGATTGCTTTGGTGTTTTAATTTCGTTCTATTTGTAATCAAGCTTCACTTTGTTTCCATTGTCAACCTTGGAAAAAAAAAAGTCGTTAGAGAAATTATCTCCAAATATGTTCAATTTACTCGTGAATAGGAAATGAGGATTACAACCCAGAATGCACAGAATGGCAAGCCACCAGTGCATTAGGTCAGGGAAGGGTAAAGAGAAGTTTTTATTAGCAAAAAGGGAGAGGTTCGTCTAAGCTGCTTCAAAACAGAATTCATTGGTTCCAGACGCTCAAAACTAGAGTTGTCAGTTCATTGATGGACATGTCTTTATTGGGCAAGTATTCTTTCCATAGGATCTATCTGAATTACTGCACTCCTAAAGAATTTCTAGAGACAAACTTTGTCAAAGCAGGAGATGCCTGATGGAAATGAAAGGGTTTCTTGAGACTCCTTGGAAACTATTCTTTTTTATTATTATTATTTCAGCATATTATGGGGGTACAGATGTTTAGGTTACA